AGAGGCTAGAGGAAAAATCCTCTGCCCCCGTCGGGGATCAAACCCCGGTCGTCCAGCCCGTAGCTAGTCACTATACTGACTGAGCTATCCCGGCTCATACTACGTATCTAATACCTGTATAATTATACCAACGAAAGTATAAACATATACATGATTGATCTGTTGTTCTAAGAGCGTCAGACAACTTTGTTTTTACTTAATTACCTTATTCACTTAATTGTTCTTTCTTTAACATTTATTATTTACCTTATGTATTTTCATTATTGTCTTATATCTCCTCAAATGGTAGGCTTTTCCATGAACCGGCATGATAAATTGCTCTCTTCTGAACTACACATACTGCTGTTTATTATTCACTCATAAAAATAAATATCTTCTAGTATCTTGCCATACTTATTTCCTGTATGTTATATTTTTCGTTCCTTGCATGAGGTGAAGTCATGTCTGTTCGTCGATAAGCAAATTTCGTCTCCGAAATTACCTAAGGTATTTTCATTAAATTTAGTATTTGCAGTCTGCACTGTATATTGTCGAAGGAATTTTACTTTGGCCAATAAATATGTTTTTACGTAAAGCCCAGAAATAACTTTCTTGATTTTTTCTAAAACAGCTCATCGTAAAAACATTGTTACCTAACATGCAATAAAATGTTTTCACAAGTGCAACTTTTACTTCAGTCATTTTCCGATATGACCATGGCAGCTTTTCCCAATCGGTAAAGTTGACACCTGTTCAGGGCAATCAGATATTAGAGACCCTCACCATATGCTTAACATGTCCCAATATTGTGAAGGATTATCAAAATACAAGGAAAATGCACACAGTACAGTAAGGTAAGGTTATCAACAGTACATTTATTTGAGCAATAAATGCACATCAAGTCTAATGATAGCAAAGAATGAATTTGGAAAATATGTGTAATCTATTGAATTACACTTTTCCACCCTTGTAAACTTCTGAATAATTTTTCTCTCTTTCCTGGCTCCACGCATTTTGATGCCACTGATTAAATGTATTTTCAGTTGCACAACCTGACTTGATGCTACAACAACAAGTTGGCTCAACTCAGCGAACTTTATCATGTCTCAGATACACAGACCATAAATGCATAATCGCAGTATCTCTTCTGGCGTCGTTGTCATACTGCGTAGTTCTGCGTAATGTCGACGAATATGTGCCGTTTCTGCACCAGTTATTGAAATTTTGAACGAAGAATTACAGCAAAAGGCGCAGAGAAAGAAACAAAGAATATCATGAGATGGATGTTTGCCGCAGTAATTGAGTAAGAAATTCTGCCGCATTGCTGCCAAGCAACTTGGCCTCCTAGAGGGTGGACAGCCCGCCGCCCATGCCTACTCTGTGCTTCAACTGTCTGCATCCGCTTGCCTGGGTTTGTTACGAAAACTCTTTCTTTATATTTGGCATTGCTTTATCTAACTTTCTTATTTTGTCTTTCTCCAAAGTTACGAAATATAACTTTTCTTCAAAGACAGAAAAAAACGGAGAGACAGAAAAACTCGAATATTTAGTCTGCGCCTGCACTCGTCTAATAAAGGGCCCAGAGACTGCCAAAGCTGCCCATATTGTGATATTACACGAACTGAAAATATCGAAGTGAATGGTGGTATATCTTATACGTACAGTAGAACAGTTGAAACTGGTATACTTTTTGTCTCAACTTGACTGTATTTTACAGGTACCAGGTTGTGCGGCCATAAAGGACCTACATTTTTCTATGGCATCAGGAATGCTTCCTGTTTGTTCCCTTTAATGTTCTCCGAGCTTTACGTACACTGGAAATCTGAACAGCAAGAGATTAAATCTTTTCTCTCTGTAGGCACAAAGTAGGTAGATATATTTCAGCTAAGCTCATGAAAGATATGTTGTGCGCTCACTTGTTTACTAAACAAGTCAGTCATTCGGTCAGACAATTTCTTCTTTTTATTCTTGTCGGTTTGTCTCGTTTCTTCAGTTCTTTCTTAAAACTTCCCCTACTTTAACGCCCTCTTCTTCCATTCGTCCTTCCTTTCTTTATCTCACCTTGCTTCTATCTTCCTGATTATTACTTCTTCCGCGTTTAGCCTTCTTCATTAAGATGCAGAATTTGTAGGCAAATTGTTGACACCAGCTCCTACCAGTTAATGTCTCCCAGAAAATAACGGATGTGTTACAAACAATGACTTGTTTTATATTAATTAATACCAATCTTACAATATTACTCTTAACATAAGCCAAGTAGCAATTTGGCTTAGATGCAGTCACACAAATTAAAACGACACGTGACCAATACTAGAACCACCGTAGGCTTGCTCTGTCTGGTAGGAAAACTTTGCAAATGTCTCCTTTGTTATTTAGCACACGTCGTTAATCTTGATTAAGTTTATTGCACATTAAATTCAGTTCTGTAACTTCAAACACATGACAAATTTACATTGCCTAAGAACCACTTTTTGTTTAATATACATAATATATAAATGCTTCAATTGAAAGATATAGATATCAATTAGGTCAGACAACGTTCCACTCTCCAGCAGTAGCTGGTTATTATAAACTTGAGGTACTTCGCCCATTACCACCCATTATTCATTCAATTGTTTCTTAGTTATTGAAGGAAAGAGATTAGGCCTTGCCATTACCTGCAATAATAAAGCGAAGTGAAACACTTAACATGCTTTTTGTTTCACAGCCTCGAAGTTGTAAAAATTACCGAAATATCGACGGATTTGTTGCTTCTTTTCAAAAGATCAAGGAAACACAAAAGTACTGTCAGAGCGTTTTTACGATCAGGCCTCTAGCTGAAGTACCACCTATCGCCCTGTGTTTATTATATAAAATGCAATGAACGAATTAAACTCTTAATAATTTAGGTATATACGCGCAATTTTAGATGATTTATTCATGCATGCATCCTTAATGAAAGTCATAAAAACGAAAGAAAACAGGTGCTTTCAACTTGTAACTGACAAACAAAAATTAGTACGCTGCAAGAAACAAGCACTGTATTATTTTGTACTTACGAGCCGGGATAGCTCAGTCAGTATAGTGACTAGCTACGGGCTCGATGACCAGGGTTCGATCCCCGACGGGGGCAGAGAATTTTTCCTCTAGCCTCTGCGTCCAGACCGGCTCTGGGGCCCACCCAGCCTCCTCTACAATGGGTACCGGGGTCCTTTCCCGGGGGTAAAGCCGGCCGGGGCGTGATGCTGACCACTCACCCCTATCTAGTGCCGAGGTCAAGGAAGAGAGGAGCTATACCTTCACTCCCCCCAAGCGCCTACATGGCGTATAATGGGACAAACTTTACTTTACTTTACTTACAGTATAATTCAGGTTCTGCAAACGAGAATGTGTCACATCCCTTGCACCAGGCTACTTATTTATCGCCGTTGCTACGTACTGTTAAGTTTTGTATATCGGCTGTATCGTTTTTTACATTAAACCGTATATGATTTCCTTGCAGCTAAACAGCAGAAGACATACGAAAGACCGTTTATGTATTAGACGCCTTATGTGACCTCGTACCAACGAGGAGGCAGGTGGGCACATGGAAACTAGAGACAATGTTGAGGCTAATGTAACGTTAACAAGCTGTGATCAGGCAGAGGGATGTATATATAAGCGCGCTGCTTCGTGAACGAAAATTCTTACCTACCAAGATTAGACCTAACTCGTATTACTGACGTTGGCATGATAAGTCCGATGTTGTTATTCTGCCTCTACCACACTGAAGAAAGAACCAGCAAGCTCCTCTGGAACGTATTCCACATATCGCAATACTCAGAAGACTGTGCATACAATGAACAGCTGATGTTTGCTTACTCTGTCTGCAAGTTACAATTCAGTCTTTTTACAGCTACTCGTACACATGATTGGCTTAAAATGTCAAATGATGAGCGGAGGGGTTTCATGCATAGTGTTACACGTTTCAAGGCTATGTATCTTGTTCGTAACATGAGAAGTGTTAGTTTTGGAATAAAATAGTCTTCGGGGTATGTATACACCAGCCTTTGAACAAATTCGTGCAGCGTGTTTGTTTCAAAAGTGGAGAACAGGTTTTTCAATGTGCAACAAACTGACCCCGAACATAAAATAAGGAAGTCTCAGAGTATTTTGGGGATATAACAAAATCCCTGTTTAAGTCTCACTGTTTCCGACTCAAGCAGAATCTCTCTTCCTAGTTAAGTACGGTCTCTATTAGTCCTAGCAGGTAGGTAGCAGCTGGATTAACCCTCACAGAATTAGCATAATAGTATACTCTGAGGGCACAGAATTCGATTGTCATTTGATGGCCGGTGCCGTGTAATACACTAGCCAGATGGCAGTGCTCGTCGCTCTGTGTCTAGCATAATAGAGCCAATTAGCGGCAGCGTCACTTCAAGTTTTATTTTATAACAAAACGCATTTAAGGTGACTTAGAAGGAAACTGGAAATACGCGAATTAATATGGCGTTTTGCAGTCTCCATTTTACAGGTAAATTTGCGTTGATATTTGAAGTAAACCCAACTGAACACACATTACATTTTTTCCGGTCAAAACAATGTAGGGAGAAAAGTAATCAAAAAATTGTAATAAAGAATAGGGAAATTATTATTCAGTCAATAACGAACCTCGTTCCGAGATGGTAACACTTCTGGATCTCTCCTCGAAACACATCTGAACCGATTGCTATTTCATATATGACTGGTATAAACATCAATAACACCACCTCAACAATAATGTTATATTAATAATACCTTGACACAACTTTCATAAAATATACTGAGAAAGATGATAAAATTATAAAATTGTAAAAACTATAAATAATTGTAATTTGAGTTTAAAAGTTTATAATTTACACCTGATGACGGTTTGATAAACCGAAACATGTTGTAAATGTTCCGATGTAAATCGAATGCTCGATATGGAACATAAGATGATATTTTAATCATTTTAATTATCTTAACTTACTATTTTATTGTGATTTGACGGTAAACAAATATAATAATTATTTTATACTTACCTGCTTAGAAGCTACCTCCTTATGATTTCAATCTCCCTTGCAGATCCAAATCATCTGAAAGAAACAAACTTTCTTTGTTTTATTTTTCTCTATCATTTACAAATTTGTATTCTTATTTTTGTTCTCAGTCTCTCCCGTTATGACCATTTCCCCTTCTTCCTTCCTTCCTCGTCTTCATTGTCGTTGCTTATTTGTCTAGTTCTCTCCTTTTACATCAGTGGCTAGTATCGTATTAAAAACAATGACACAAATGCGTCGAATTCATAAGTAAACTTCAGTTATAAAATATAACGTTACCTAAATTTGTGATTATTAATATTTAAGAAGAAAGCATATACATGAAACTATTTAACTTGCCATCCTGAAGTCGCTGAACGCGACCCCAGTGAATTTATTCATTGCGGTGTTACAATACTGTTGAAATAAGGCGATGTATCATCTTAGCGGAAAACCAGTGGCGTGCGGTACTATTTTCGTAACGGAAGCAGTGGTATCTTTTGGTTTTGAAGTTGACAGTCAATTCGAGACTTGCCGAACATTACAAGTTGCATTGTTGAAACAATGTAGGTTTCAGAGTTCTTATGTTGTTTCAGTGCTGTATGAAGTTTGTTGATATCACCGAATCCAGTCTTGTTCCATATTTTCTTTTCATTCAGAAATAATAGACATGACCAACAAAACGATTTTCCTATGTTACGGCAACCGGACAGCTACTCTGTTTTATAATACTGTTCAAAATTAAATTTCCTCACACATGATGTGGTTTGTGTTTTAAGTTCTGGCAAGTCGCATGTTGGTCATCCTCTTTCTATAGTTATTTTTTTTCCAGAAAAGTCCCTACACATAAATCTCCGTTTTAAAAGGCGTTCGATTGCACAGTCACATGGAGGTTCTCTGCCAACGTTCATTTTAGCTGTGCGTGTAGTCTAATCAATCCCCTGCCAATTGTACCACGAGATTGGAAATGCTTCCCTTGCACGCGGATCGTTTACTTTCTGGAGTTAAAAAAGGTTCAATATACGACCACAAATACAATCCTGCACCATCTAAATATGCACGTGCAACAGTATTTTAATAAAACTTGATGTTGCTTACAACACCCAACAAGAACTGGGGTGGAACGAACTCGAAGATTAACGAAAGGAAACTGTAACTACCCCAAGGACACTCGCTGCCAGCGGTCCGGTCTCTTGCTTCGCCACACGCTACGTTCTTGAGAAGATGAAAATATTCACAATCCTTAGTATTCAACTTGAATTATTTATGAATGAATTATTTTCATTTCTTAACTACGGAAGCAATGTCTCCCTTGCTTCAATGCAGAGCACGCCACTGTGGAAAACTTCCAACAGAGGCAGTTTCTGACCGTGCTTTATTGTGCCCTTGCAACAGAGAACGATACCATGACGTAAGCAGCAGAGAAATCGCGGACTTGTCCGATGAAATCGTGTGGGGTTTCAGACCTCCAAATTCGGTAACTGTACCTGTTAACAGTACTATTAGCACGGAATATAATTTCGCAATTTCTCTTGAGGCTGGTACTGGAATTTTACCGAGGCTATCTGGTCACATACACGGTATTGTCCGGTCTCATGCCCACCAGAGGTTACGGAAAGACCCACCACTCAACAAGACATACATATTCCGTTTTTCTAGGAGCTGATCCTTTCATTTCCATAGTTAACATTATTTCATGTAAATCAGAGACAAAAACACATCGCCTTTCCTACTCTTTCGAGTTTAGCAAATTCAGCATTAAGTTAATGCTGAATTTGGACATTAACTTTTGCTTTACAGTGTCAGTAATTTCTGTATATTTAAGCAAGTAGCTGGGCTGACGTTAATCACATAACCCCATAAAATTTGTTTTTTGAATTCAGAAACAAGTAGCACACAATATACGAGGTGCGATCGGAAAGTTTCAAGACTGTGTTAATAGAGGGCGAACCGGATGTAGTACAAGCTTCTGCCGCTAGGGGGTGCGGCCTACATTCATAGTGAATCAGTGTGCCAGCCAGCATCATCGAATTAGCATTTGTTTCTTAGTTACGGGCGTTTTGGTAGTGCATTACACCGACCCTCCTGCGATTTCGGAATGGCGTGTGCATCAAATTTTGCCAAACACTCGCCAAAACGGCTACGGAAACCTATGAAATGCTAAAGCAAGCATTTGGGGAGTCCGCAAACTTTGGTGTGGCATTCACGTTTTAAAAATGACCGAATGTCAATAGAGGGCGAACTGGATGTAGTACGAGCTTCTGCCGCTAGGGGGTGCGGCCTACATTCATAGTGAATCAGTGTGCGAGCCGGCATCATCGAATTAGCATTTGTTTCTTAGTTACGGGCGTTTTGGTAAATTGAAAATTCAGCTAAAGGGAAGGAGATTTGAGACGATAGAAGAGATTCAGGCAGAATCGCAGATGGTGCTTGACAGGCTGACAAAGAAAGATTTCCAGGGATGCTTCCAGGCTTGGCAGCGGCGCTGGGATCGTTGTGTTTACTCCCAGGGGAACTACTTCGAGGGTGATGGATGAATTTAATACCTGAGATAAGTGTACGGGTTTTTATAGGCGCAGTCTAGAAACTTTCCGATCACACCTTGTACCTCCAAAATCTGGAGATATTTGTTCCAAATGTGACAACACTTTCGTCATATTTAAACAGACTGATGAACGTATCTCAAACTCGGAAACTTCCGGTATTACTCTTTTTTATTCAGTAACACACTTTTCGTTACGCATTTCCTAAATGTTTAAATATTTCTTTTTCCACAGTGACATTACTTCCATTATACCGTACCCGTATTAAAAGTAAGGTGAGGGGAAGAAAGGTTTGGATACCACTTAGAGTGTATGATATACAGGAGCCGGTTTATGGCGGATGCACGTTTTTGTCTGATGATCTGTCTGGTCATTGTCAATACTGGCGTCTCTAGGGGCTGGTCAGAATGCCATGGCGGACGGCTACTGTCCAATAACGTCACATTTTCTCTTCAGTTATGGAAAAGTTACGGAACCATGACAGCTACTTTCGTTATACTCTTTCGCTCTTGTGATCAGCTGGCTTCTTGTGTTACGAGCACGCTGTTATCGGTTTTTCTTAACAATCTGCATTGGTAAACTGTCATGAATTATACGACATTTCATGTTACAAAGTTTGTTCTTAATACTTGTCCCAGCTTCAATAACTGGATCCAGTAACTTTGATACACACAGGTTGACAATGAAATCTGCAGTATTTGCATTGGTATAAGTATGCGTCAATCAAAGAAGGAAAAAGGCAACAGAACACCTTTTGAACATCACGACTACTTATTCTCAGCAATATTCACGGCCACACATAAATATCACCAGCAGTAGATACAATGCTGATAAATAACACACCATAAGCTCATTTGAAATGCAGTGCAGCAAAAGATAAACGTAGACACATTCACTGTTACAAATTGCAAGAGATGACGACGAACATTTGTCAAATATCACGAGTATTTGCCGTGATGTCACTCCGAGCGGTTGGCTGGCTGCTTACAGTTTCTGCAATGAAACTCCGAGCCTTGATGACCGTTACAAATACATACACACGTTGGAGGGGATGGGGGAAGACCGCGAAGCGACAGCACACACGGATAGACAACCAATTCTTTCTTGTTTTCTGTCAGATGCGAAATTATTACTTTTCGAATGTCTCGAACATTCCCGTGTTGCTGTGAGCGAAAGTCGTCGATGATGGAACGAGCAAAAGGAAAGCTGTGGAAAGAAAAAAGCACTAGCACTTGAACACTAATGAAGAAAACTTATCTACATGCGTGATTTGTAGACCGACAGAACTTTTTTTCAAGGACAATAATTAATTGTATTAGTGTGTAAACTAACCCAATTTTAGCTAGAACCCAAGTGTAATTATCGACTCAGTTGCTTTGTAATAAAGCATTTTCACACTGAAACAAACGTTGCCTTTGAATAATATCGTATACAATACTAATCAGTCCGCCATCATAATTAATTTAAAAGAATCAGCAAGTCAAAACAACTTTTCACCCCCATTGTCGCCTCATTGTTCCTTGAGTGGCTTCATAGACCTGCATTTCTTCATTGACCGTATGCCATCTCTTGATTCATTTGACGCAGAGTAGCTGTGACGTATGTTGGGAGAACCCATGAGCTACATGTCCCGCCACACCTGGAGTAGCCGAGTCGCTTGCCACATGTCACGTGTCACGAGTCAAGGAGCATCTGTGTGTGTGCTACATCCATCAACACCCGACACTAGATGGAGAACCGAACCCTCCATTGCAAGGTCTCCTCCTCTCCTGAGTGATCTGTGATCTATGCCACTTCTGACACTGCTAACATGATGAATGACATGTCTGTTCAGCATTAAATATTCCTGTATGTTATTACTCTTATGGAGAGAACTTTGAGACGAATAGAGGTTTATACACTTGTTCACATGTTCGCTTTACTAAAGCAGCATTGACTATTCGCTGTTAAACCATGCACCTTTCCACAGAGAAGATGAGACTACAGTACAGCAAGCCCTCGTTGTCCGTCGCTTCTCATATTAATCGCGTAATACTTGACACAACTGTTTCCACATACGTCGAAAGGATTTCTTTATCAAACGATTCTTTAATCGCCTGGCATTCTTAAATACGACTCGCAGGGCATTAATCAAGTCACACAATTCAGTCTGTAGACACTACAGTTGTATGATTTGAGGTTTTCACAGCAGTGAGTCTGAAGAGTGCTGTCTCCTGGGTTATTGCGCCCTGATGACGGAGGCAGTATGACCTCTGAAACGTTGGTAAACATCTACCATACTACACAGCGCAACAACCTAGAAGACATAAATCTTCTTAACACTCACGTTGTTTTACAAGTCAGTAGTAAACTGACTATTTTTGTTATGATGGCTGTCTACTGGTCTGTTATATGTGGTCTTACAAGGTCTACGTCTTTTAATGCAACAACATATAGTGAATACGTTTAAACAGTTAAATATATGAGATATGAGGTTCTCAATGCAGTGGAGAAGCCGACGTTAGTCTTAGTGTA